CCCTGGCTGTCCCCCAAGCATCCATTGCTAAGTACCCCTGGCTGTCCCCAAAGCATCCATCACTAAGTACCCCTGGCTGTCCCCAAAGCATCCATCACTAAGTACCCCTGGCTGTCCCCAAAGCATCCATCACTAAGTACCCCTGGCTGTCCCCAGTGCGTCCATTGCTAAGTACCCCTGGCTGTCCCCAGTGCGTCCATTGCTAAGCATGCCTGGCTGTTGCCACCTCATATCACCATTGCTCTGAGAGTTCAGTTGCAGGCACATAGCTCAGAGGCTACATTCACACCGCCGTCTATAGCTTTTGCTTCCCTTCCACATTTATTATTTAATCCTCATTCCTGTTGGCACACAACACTTCTTTAGTCATTCTTCTTTTCCCTTGACATATTCATCACCTTATTTTCCTACCACACCAGAATCCCAGGTACACACAAGCGTTTAAATCAGCTATTTTTGATGCAAGCTAACACAGCAAAGCTTTGACTCCTCCAATAAAATTGACTAGGACATCTGGCACTAAATACTTATATGTGCTCTTTATAGGAAGGCTTGTTCTGCATTTGCTATCTTAAAAAAAATAACAAAATGAAAATGGGTTGACATTTGGAGAACAAGAAAACGGCAACCCCAAAAGACGCCTTTTCCTTTTTTCTTCCAGATTTCAAGTCGAAACCACACAATAGGTCACAGACACTGATTGCTGGCATTTGCAGCGTTTGGTTATTTATAATTGACTCTTAACTATTTATAAGTGCCAGTTAGCCAAGCTACTAATTTTTCTTGACAGAAATAGAAGAGAGGAACAAATGTATTCAAATTTAATTCTGGAAATATACAGGTTATAAGTTATTTGTCAAAGAAAGTGTTTTCACTTATTTTTTTTTCTGTAACTCAAAGTACAGTAACTAGCATGTTTCTAGCAACCCAAACACCTGCTAAGGTCTTCGTATCACAACCTAACTAATGCACTGCTCCGGGTAGCCCCCAGGATGCTTGCCAGCTGACAATGATATACAGGTTGGAGCACTGGATGCTTATTTTTATTCAGAAGGAATGGCCCTGCCGTCACTGAAGCTTTGGAGCAAGGGCCCTGAGCTCTGTGTTGCTTTCCAATTCCAAGGGCTAAACTACAGGTGTGTGAGGAGGAAAGCATCATGGGAAGCCAGTTCCCCTTTATGGCTAGCATATACAGCTGTTGGTCAGACAGCCTGTTTGAAATGTGAGTACAAATGGAGATTTATGTGTGTTTTGCTCTTTTGGTTATGATCTGTCATATCTGGGTTCTGTTGTCGGGAGAAACACATCCATATCTGAACCAAGATTGATATATTATTCCAAATTACAGAAAAGAAGCTCAGGTTTGGAATGTTGTTATGGCCCCTTAAGACCACCCCTTCATGAAATAACCAGATGGATTAGGATCAGTCAGCTCAGTGCTCAGCCAACTGGTAGAGCCCCTTCTCTGTGCCCTGGGGCTTTCTCATCACCTGGTGGACTTTATCAACACAGTGTGGAAAGCCAAAGGTTCTTTAGAGGAAACAGAATATACAACCTAAAGCACTGTGGCTGCTAGCATCTTATCCAGACTGTAGCCTGTCAAACAAATATCTTCATAGTCAAGGCTAAAGGGAATTTAGCTTTCTTTGTTTAGAGATAAAGAAACTGGTGATAGCCTAACCAGTTTATTCATGGCTTGTACCTAGTACTCTTAATCCCTACAAACAAATACTGTCTATACCAGTCAAGAGAGCGCAAATGGCGTTACTCACAAGCATGTATTATTAACCTTTGCTTCCCTGTGGGAAGGCTCATATTTCCACAATGGCAGCTGGATTGCTTCCGTTTTTTTTTTTTTTTTTTACATTGACATTAGAGAAGAGAATGCATCAGTGCTTCAGGACACATTGTGGCTTGAAGTTAGGGGTGCAGTGGTAGCCGGGCTCAGCATGAGCTACACTTACCCGTACTGAACAACCCCCACGAGAGGACCAGCAGGGCCAATGTCAAGAGCCTGGACAACGTCCACTAGGAACTGCTTCTGCATCTGGAAGCGGCGCTTGCCGATGCTGGTGCTCCCATCAATTAAGAATGACAAGTCAATTTTGCAGTCTGAGGGATAGAAAAGGAAGCTGTGATTCTGCTTGGCTCTCCGTGCTCCCTCTCAGTGCTCCCTCTCAGGGAAAGATAGAGAAAAAATGAATTAAATCATATAATTTAGTTGTTTTCACATATATATGGACAATATTTAGATATAATATACATTCACTGGTATGAATTAAGCTATATGTATGAATGTATATTATATAAATTAAACTATATCTAGCTTATATATATATAATTTAATTTATAAGTTACACACACCAACAGACTGACAATAAATAATAACAAAGCAGAATGATTTGACTGTATACTGTAATAAAAACTAACAAAACTTTGGAGGGATTATTTATTTCTAGAACTTTCCATTTATTGTTTTTAGATCTCAGTTGATGATGAGCAATCAAAACTGTGGAAAAGTAAAACCAGGGGTAAAGTGGTTCTGCTGTGTAGGAAGCCAATGAGAGCTGTAGGAGGCATGGCAGGCGGAAGGCCAGCTTCAACCTTTCAACAAAAGCTACATGGCAAGCAAATCCATGTTTGATACCCTCCTCTGCAGTGACACTGACTCAGTATGATAAAACTGACTGTTCATTGTTGAGCTGAAGCCCTTACTGAAGTTCATATAGCCTTAAGACTAATTTAAAAACGAAGAACGGATTATTGAATTAATGCATTTGGGAGACAAGAGTATTTCAGAAACATTTCCAAGGGAGACAGGAGAATAAAGAATTTTGATCTATAGCATCCAAGAACACCCAATGGCCTGCACCCCCTTGTGGGCGGAGGAAGAAACTGCACATGTGTCCCTAAACTGTGCACTGCTTCCTTGGGGCTGGCGTTGCCTATTCTCCATTAACAAAAGTGGTATACGCAAGGAAGGGCTGTTGCAAATATTAAATGCTTCTGAACTGACAAAGTTTGAAGCAACATTGGTTAGAAATGATTTTTGATGCGTTATGATGCCGATTCGAGGATGGAAAGTTGAATCTGAGAACGTGCTGAAACGGCTATTGAAACCAGGGGAGGTTTTGAAGAGACCACAGGGATGGTTGTCTGCCTCTACTCCATCTATTTTGTGTCTTAGCTCTTCAGCAAATCTCGGAGCTTTTTGTCCCAGTCTACGGGTCCCTTTTAGCCTTCCCTGTCCAGCTGGTTTCTCCCATGGTGCCGACATTCATGCATAACCCCTGAGATGAAGATTTCAGGAAAGAAAGGAAATCCAAATGTGGTTTAAAGACACTAAAGACAGAGATGAAACAGAAGACAGGGAGAACTGCTGTAAGACTTCATTCATTCTGATGGTCAACGAATGCTTTTCTAGGCCTTGCTTTGCAATGCGTATTATAGCCAGCAGGTGGCAGTAATGTTCTTCAGGGGTTTCGGTCCACCGACACCAACAGTATAAGGGAAATACGGATTCACGGGAACCACTCAAATATAGAGAATCAGATTTGCCTTTAACTATGACCCCTAAGTTTGAGAAACACTCCTGGACAGAGGTTTTCTTTCTAGACACCAGCACATTAGTTCAATATTGCCTTTTAAGATAGAGGAAAATCGATTTTAGGAGGGGACAACGGGGTTTCCCCTCTTCATTTATTTTCTGCGGTAATAGTACCTGGCTTTGGTAGCATCTGTTTGGTTCCTCAAGGACATTTTGCTCATTTTTTTACATCTTGAACTATGTTCAGGAACAATGTGTTCAGTTTTGAAGCAAGCAGTTTATCCACTTAGTTCTTCTGGCTCTCTGGCCTGACGGCTGACACAGAAGTCTCCTTTGTTACCCTTCCCAGGATTTTTTTTTTCTATCGCTGGGACCAAACACAAGGCTTTGTTGCACTTCCTAGGCCAATATTCTATTACTGAGCAATAGTCCCTGCCTCTAAACTTAATATCTTAATGACTAGGCCTCTATCCCATGGCACATGCAGGCTAAGACCCAGGTGTTCAGTATTGCTGTCTTATTTATGGCCACAGGAAAGGTTTCAGATGAGGATGGAAGGTCAGATGTGGTGTCTCAAGGAATCAATGCACTGATTTTCCTAATTCTGTGATACAGTGCTACTTTGGTACAGTTCTAGAGACGAACTCATGCTTTGGGCTATATAATATGTCAGGTCCATGTTGTGTAACTTTGGGTGATGTCTATCAGAGGCACGCACAGGTCACAGGTGTTCTGACTTCCCACAAGATAACCTGCAAGCCCCTCTCAAGGACTGCTGGTAACTTTGGCTGTAGACTCAGTCAGTGGGCCTGGGATGGAGGCTCTGGCTCTACCTTTGCTTCGGAGTCTCAGGGTGACTTGCTGATGATGTTGGTCATCTGATCATACGGAAAGTCACAAAGTGGAGTGAGCATGTGACACAGTGGGTGTGAGGAATGGGCATCTGTGGTCTCAGAACATCTTCAGGTGTTTATTACGAACAGCAGAGGTGAGACAGCACACTGGCGGTGGCTTTAGGAGGATTCGTAAGTGCTTTCTTTTGGTGTTGGAAGGGACTACACTTCTCCTTGTTCCTTCTCTCTCCAGTCTCTCCTTTGTGATACTCCCATGTGTTTTCTGCCCTGCCTAGCGAGGCTCATTGGTGTGTCCTCTGTATGTTTTCAACCTTATCTACAGCCCAGGTAACAGCTACATGATAGAGTTTCTGCTTTGAACCACAGTTCATCTTGCAACTCTAAACGCTTTTGAGGAATTTATTATCCATTTGACGTTCTTTTCTCTCTTTAACTTGATGAAGAATGACAGAATATGTATACTCACTGTCATCTTCTTCCCTGACTCTGAATTTGACTGACTCGTCCCATCTCGGCCAAGTATTAGATCTTGTTATTGGTCTGAATATCTCGGCAAATGGCAGACATAGACAGCCTTCCTGTCCCTAACTCTGGTCCAACCTGTGTTCCTCACCATATGACATTTATCCAGTTGCACAAGGGTCATTCTTTTACAATATGAGTTAGACCTATGTGTTTACCGAGTGCGTGTGGGAGAGCACATGTATGCTGGCAGTGTGTAGCGCAGAGGATGACTCGTGGGAGCAGCTTCTCTCCACCATGGACGGAACCCAGGCTGTCAGGCTTTGCAACAAATGGCTTTGCCAGCTGAGTGACTGCTCTCCAGAGTCCTGCAGTTGTCATTTTTAATTGTCCTGTCTCTTGCCCCACCCCAACCCTATAGATTCTTCTTTTTCTCTATTTCTTGACTCTGCCAATTTCCCTAGTTTCTGGCTAACTCCAAGGCCCATTTTTCCATTACTCACGTGGTACCCCACTCCTGCCCATCAGCCTGTCAATTCTTTTCATCCACCCTTGTCCCTATCCCTTCCCATTCTTTGCCCTGTTGCCATAGCGACTGAATCTCCCCCCCCTTGATCCTCTCCCCCTCACAAATATACTTTAAATCCTTCAAAAGCTCTCCATTCTCCTTAGAACAAAGTGTCTGAAGACAGAAGCTAAACAGATCTGTGGTAGGAGAGAGGTGGGTCTCAACGGAAGTCAGTGCGCAGAGGAGAGAGATGTTAAAACCCCCGTCCCTGGGCTTCCCACTCTCAGTGAACTCACTTGGGTCTCCCTGCGACACCGGCTCCGAAGACTGTGTGCTGAGTTCTTCTTTTGGCACCAACCCTGGAAAAGAAGTAAAAGCTGTTGTGATTTCCAAGCAGAGGAAGCACCTGGCCTTACCCCAGAGAACGGTACAGAGCGGACATTCATACCCAGCTCTGGGGCTTGGCTTAGAGCTGCCTCCTCTCTACACCAGGCCCATCCTGAGAAAAATAAGTCCCAACAGCCTGCCCAAGGGTGCTCTGTTGGGTATTCAGGGAGCCTGTTCTGCTTTCATTTTAACTAGTTCTGTCTGAGTCCTGATTTATTTATGTGAAAACATTATGGATGTGTTGGTATAAATTATCATCCTCTAAAATTCTGAAAACTTTGAGGTCAGGAAAAATGAGTCTGGCTTATCCAAAGTGGTCCTATGCTCAGTACATGTGGGTCCTTGGCCAAATTGTGGTGACAGAGGTACTGAACAAAGATGAGTTAGACATGTGAGAGCAATCTGGAGAAGGTTGTGTGTGCACCAGAGGGGAACACAGTTCAAATAAAAGGGAAGACAGCCTCTCACCCCGGCACTTTAAGGCTGGAGGGAGAGATGCACGGTGTTCATGTTTGGAGAGGGTGTATGAGGGC